AATATAATAAATATAAATATAAAAATATAAAAAAATATAAAAATAAATAAATATATATTTTTTTTTATAAAAATCAAAATATATTAAAAAAATAATTTAATAAAAAAAATAAAAAAAAAATATATATATATATATATATATATATATATATATATATATATATATATATATATATATATATATATATTGTGTATTGGAATAAAAATATAATTTAAATATTTTGTCAATATTATGACCACCCTTAAGAAATAGTTGTTAATGTTTTTACTGTATTTTTGGCCAGATTAAATATATTTAATAAAATGCTGTTTAACAGAGAAAGCACATTTATCATAGAATTTCCCATCATATTTTTCTTCTGGAAAAAAATCTTTTTTTAGTAATTGTTTTTTTCAGTTTGCTCCAAAATAAACCCCTGTTGTCCAATGACTTGCTTAATTTAAAAGAATTAAGATGAAATTACTTATTTAGAATATTTTATGATTTATATAATGTTTAATGTGTGTTGAAAGAAAACAATTTCTCCTTTAAACAGTACTCTTATAATATTTAAAAATGTATTTTTTTCAAAGGTAGGCTAATAATTTTGACTTCAACAGTACATGGGTATAAAATGTAAACAAAGTAAATCATCTGGCTATGTTTATATAATATTTGCTACTCATGGACATCAGTCAACACAGTTTCTGCTAACCCCTCCATTAACAACGCTTTCAGAACGCTTCCAAAATAAACATAAAATGAGCCAAAGTATGGTCAAAATGTTTTAAAAAGACATGTCGGAATAATCGGAATGTTCACACATGACAAAAGTAACAGGCTAGATCACATTTGCATCAAACATGCTTATTTATAAGATCAACAAACGCTGCTTCTCTAGCAGTAGATATTAACAGAGAAGCAAGAATGAAAAGCAGAAACTGAGATAAAAAGTAATCAGATGTTGATGATAAGAGCTCCAGAGGAACATCCGTCACATGAGATGAAGAGGGAAGTTTATTGTTACTGAGAAGGAACAAAAATAAGCAGGTGGAACAAATTTATAAAAACAAGAAATACTTCTTTTTGAGACCGAGCTACTGTGTAAAAACACTTCACGGAAACACTGTTGTGTTTAGGAGGTCCATTTAAGGCATCTGTGTTTGAATAGGGGGAATGCATTTAAAATAATGAGATCAGACTGCACTGTAAAAACTGTTAAAGAGACAGCTTCTGTATTTAGTGATATGAAGTGTATTCCATTCATTTAGAGTTGTGAACTGCATCATGGGATATCGGATCCTGCTTTGTCGACTTTTGATGTTGAAAATTCAACTCTACAGTTTGACAAAGTGACTTTTATTGACATTTTAGTCATTTGAAATAATATAATGTATAATAAATATATAGTCTGTAAAATAAAAGAAAATGCACTGGCAGTTTATTACAATGTGTTTGTAGCAAAATAAACAACACCAAACTGTACAATATATCACTTTAAACTAATAAAATTGTTTGTAAAAAGTCACTTTTCAAGATTAAAAGTTGTTTTGACTTCCACAGTATTTCTTCCCCCCACGACTCGAACATGCGGGAGAATAAATGATGAGGTCATTTAAGAGGATAAGTAATGCGAACACACATAACTCCTGCTATATTGCACAAGTTTAACTATAATATAATAATAATAATAACTCCTTACATTTATATAGCGCTTTTCTGGGCCCTCAAAGCGCTTTACACAATGGGGGGGTCTCCTCATCCACCACCAGTGTGCAGCATCCACCTGACGGCAGCCATTTTGCGCCAGACCGCACACCACACACCAGCTGATTGGTGGAGAGGAGACAGAGTGATGAAGCCAATTATGATATGGGGAGGGTTAGGAGGCCATGATGGACAGAGGCCAGTGGGCAGATTTGGCCAGGATGCCGGGGTTAAACCCCTGCTCTTTTTCGAAAGACATCCTGGGATTTTTAACGACCACAGAGAGTCGGGACCACGGTTCAACGTCTCATCCGAAAGACGGCGCTCACTGAGCAGTATAGATTCCCCGTCACTATACTGGGGCATTAGGACCCACACAGACCGCAGGTTGAGCGCCCCCTGCTGGCCTCACTAACACCACTTCCGGCAGCAACCTAGCTTTCCCATGTGGTCTCCCATCCAGGTACTGACCGGGCGCAGCCCTGCTTAGCTTCAGTGGGCGACCATGCGAAAGTTGCAGAGAGCTATATTCCAGATATCTGTATAAAGTGTAAGGAGGTAAGAGGTACCTTTATCACTGGATATGGGAATGTGTGAAAGTGAAACCCTTTTGGCAAGGTGTTTTTGAAATAATTGACCAAATTTTATCAAAGAAATCAGATTCATAAACGTGTATTTTACAAGCTAAACCTATTATTGCTCTTAATTGGAAAAATAAAAATGAACCAAGAATAGGAAAGTGGATTAAAGAAATGGCATCGCATATGTCAATAGAAAAGATCAGGTACATTGTCAAAAGGAAACCAAATTTGTTTGAAGATATCTGGAGACCTTTTAATAACTTCCTGAAGTACAATGTACAGTCGTGGCCAAAATTCAATTCAATTCAATTCAGCTTTATTTGTATAGCGCTTTTACAATGTAGATTGTGTCAAAGCAGCTTCACATAATTGGTCATAGTAACTGGAACAGTGTGGTTCAGGTTTTAGTGTTTAAGTTCAGTTCAGTTCAGTTTAGCTCAGTTCAGTGTGATTTAATCATTACTGAGAGTTCAAACACTGAAGAGCAAATTCATCGATGCGTAGCTCTACCAATCCTGAACCATGCGAGCCAGTGGCGACAGCGGAGAGGGAAAAAAAACTTCACCTGATGGGAGTGAAGAAAAAAACCTTGAGAGAACCAGACTCAGTTGGGCACGACCATTTTAATTTCTCCGCTGGCCAAAAGTCTTGTGCAGAGCTTGAGTCGCCGTGGTGGAGGCTGGAAGATGGCCTCAGCGAAGACTCGTCTGTCCCTGGAGCGTCGCTTTGAGTTTTGAGAATGACACAAATAATAGTTTTCACAAAATTTGCAGCTTAACTGCTTTTAGATCTTTGTTTCAGTTGTTTCTGTGATGTACTGAAATATAATTACAAGCACTTCATATGTTTCAAAGACTTTTGTTGACAATTGCATGCCATTTATGCAAAGATTATTTGCAGTGTTGGCCCTTCTTCATCAGGACCTCTGCAGTTCGACTGGGCATGCTCTCAATCAACTTCTGGGCCAAATCCTGACTGATAGCGACCCATTCTTTCATTATCACTTCTTGGAGTTTGTCAGAATTAGCGGGTTTTTGTTTGTCCATCCGCCTCTTGAGGATTGCCCACAAATTCTCAATAGGATTAAGGATCTGGGGAGTTTCCAGGCCATGGACCCAAAATTTCAATGTTTTGGTCCCCGATCCACTTAAATATCACTTTTGCCTTATGGCACAATGCTCCATCGTGCTGATAAATGCATTGTTCTTTACCAAACTGTTGTTGGATTGTTGGAAGAAGTTGCTGTTGGAGGGTGTTTTGGTACCATTCTTTATTTATAGCTGTGTTTTTGGGCAAAATTGTGAGTGAGCCCACTCCCTTGGATGGGAAGCAACCCCACACATGTATGGTCTCAGGATGCTTTACTGTTGGCATGACACAGGACTGATGGTAGCGCTCACCTTTTCTTCTCCAGACAAGCCTTTTTCCAGATGCCCCAAACAATTGGAAAGCGGCTTCATCAGAGAAAATGACTTTGCCCCAGTCCTCAGCTGTCCATTCGCCATACCTTTTGCAGAAGATTAATTTGTCCCTGATGACTTTTTTTTTTTTATTGGAGAGAGGTGGCTTCTTTGCTGCCCTTCTTGACACCAGGCCATCTTCCAAAAGTCTTCACCTCACTGTGCGTGCAGATGCGATCAAACCTGCCTGCTGCCATTCCTGAGCAAGCTTTGCACTGGTGGCACTCCAATCCCGCAGCTTTTATCCTCTTTAGGAGACGATCCTGAAACTCGCTGGACTTTCTTGGATGCCTCAAGCCTTCTTAACAAGAATTGAACCTCTTTCCTTGAAGTTCTTCATGATCCTACAATTGTTGATTTAGGTGCAATCTTAGTAGCCACAACATCCTTGCTTGTGAAGCCTTTTTTTATGCAATGCAATGATGGCTGCACACGTTTCTTTGCAGGCCCCCATCTTTAACAATGAAAGAACAATGATTTTAAGCATCACCCTCCTTTTAACATGTCAAGTCTGCCATTCTAACCCAGTCAGCCTGACATAATACCCTCCAGCCTTGTGCTCTTTAATATTCTCACCTCAGTCAACAAGACAAGTATTGAAATGATCTCAGCAGGTCCTTTAATGACAGCAATGAAATGCAGAGGAAAGTTTTTTTCAGGATTAAGTTAATTTTCAAGGCAAAGAAGGAGTATGCAATTCATCTGATCACTCTTCATAACATTCTGGAGTTGCTATCATATTGCTATCAAATTGCTATCATAAAAACTTAAGCAGCAGCCTTTCCAATTTCCAATGTTTATGTAATTCTCAAAACTTTTGGCCATGACTGTAAATGTTGGCAGTCTACTACAACAAGAACAAGCTTAGGAATATGGGAAGTATCATGGTCTAAACAGACTTAGGAAACACTCTCTACCTGATTTAAACATCCCCTTTTTTTTCTTTTTAAATTATACATATTTATTTAATTTAATTTAATTTAATTTAATTTAATTTAATTAAATTTAATTTTATTTTATTTTTAAGGGAATTGTTGGGAGGGAGAATGGGTGGTAAAACCTTTGCTGTGTCTTCATGATTATTATTCTGTAATTGTGTAATCTGTTGTGATATGCAAATTGAAAAAAGTAATAAATATATTGTACAAAAGAGGATAAGTAGAGGAAGAACCACACCCAAAAAATGATAATAAATCTTTAAGTTTGTTTAAAAGTCATGAAAATAAGAGTTATTGTACTCTTTTGTTGTTTTAGACTAGATCTGACACCAAATTGAAAGTGTAAGTATTTAAATGCCTCAGAATTTGTGAGCTATTTAAAACCAGACCTGGAGATACCGGTATTACAGGTGTTTTCACAAGTAGTCGAACCCTAATGCTTCCATAAATCTCATGTCTGTGAGGCAAGTATTTTCTGAGATTCCAGTGTGTTTGTTGTAAAAAACATAAGTCTGGACCGAGCCCCATCCCCGGAGAATCATCAGTCTTTAGCCATAGATGACTGGCTCCTTTATTAGATGGCGGGCTTCTATTTTATTATAGAGCCAAGCATTAATTTTAATTATTTTGAAGCCAAGCATTAAGTGAAGTTAAAGTTAAAACTAATAATCAATTTAAATTATTTTAAAGTTAAGCATTAAAAAGTTGTTAAAGCTAAGCATTAAGAGAAGTTAAGTTAAAGCTAAGCATTAAGTTATTTTAAAGTTAAGCATTAAGATAAGTTAAAGCTAAGAATTAAGAAGTTAAGTTATTTTAAAGATAAGCTTTAAGTTAAAACTAAGCATTAGGAAGTTAAGTCAATTTAAAGTTAAACATTAAGGTATTTTAAAGATAAGCATTAAGTTAATTTAAAGTTAGGCATTAAGTTAAAACTAAGCATTAATAAGTTAAGTCAGTTACACTTTACAATAAGGTTCATTAGTTAAAGTTAATTAATGCATTTACTAACATGAACAAACAATGAACAATACATCTACTATTGTATTTGTGCATGTTTGCCAGCACTCAATTTTGGGGATTTACACCTACCTAACTTTAAATAGTAACAGTTCCTGACTCCAGTAAGCTACATTTTATACAAATTATGTATCATTGGAAAGAAGACACTTTGAGCTTTTCTGTGGTAAAAGGAGAAGTTGTATGTTAAAAAATACAAAAAGTTATACATTATGAAGTCATGAGGAGAAAAAAAATTGTATTATGTTTAATTTTAGTTTTCCATATAGAAACACAGGAAAACATTAATGTGATGTCCTAGACTAAAAAAAAACTAAAAATATGACTTGAAAGCCACATAATTCATATGTGTATATTTTAAATTTAATGAAGATAGCATGCAAAATGAGATTACTGTAAAAAGTTTTCTGAGGCTATGTCGATGTCCTTCTCTCCCTCACCGTCAGAGGCACTTTCTCAAAAATCATCTTCCCAAGTTGAAACATTTACAGTTGCTGAATGATTTGGTCTACATTCACAGTTTATGCATCTTTGGAAAGAAGACACTCTGGGCTTTGCTATCCATCATCTAGAGTTTATAATGCTCAAAAGGAAAAAAGTTATAGATGCTTAAGTAATGTAAAAAAAAATATCCGCACTAAACATTTTATTATTTCATAAACAAATATGTGAAATGTGTTCTGGAGCAACACAGAAAAGTAATAGATCAAAAGGTACACATCTCCTGAGTATGTTTTGAATTTGATGCCAATATCATGCAAAATTAATTTCTGGAATAATTTTTCTGAGACAATGTCTTGTGTTTTTTTCCCTCCCCTGATTTGTGGAGAAGTCTGATGACCACACGTACTGAAGGTTTCACTATTTTTTTTATTGTAAAATAATTTCTCAGTGTTGTGCAGTATTGTTTTCAGCTGACCTCACCTTACAGACGCGAGCGATCCTGGGAATCAGCAGTTTGCCGAAAAACTCGTACTCCACCGACACCTCCGTGAAGAAGTAGTAAATCTTGTCATCGTCTCCATCAGGACTGTCCTGTCCTTCTCGGATGACGTCCGCAAAGACGAAACTGGGCTCTGAACAGCAAAAACACAAGCTCAATTAAACCATTTCTATGAGATTATAGTTTTTTAAATAATTTATTAAACATTTTTTACATTTTACAAACATAAACAACAATCATCAAGAAAAGAGATGGAAAGGAAAAACACACAAAATAAAATAACAGAGAATGATTATAGTTTTTATAAATATTGTTAAAACAGCCATATATGAGTAATTGTAGAGGGTTCTGTAATGCTTTAAATCAAAACTTTAATCAAACAGTTTTAAATAATAAAAGACAACTATAAACTATGTTTGTAAATGTATTAAGACACATTTTATCTTATTATATATTTCCACTATATCCATTTTGACTGTCTCCACTGCCGTAACTATAAATTCAGCTAAAATTATCATGAAATATTAATCATGATTTTCATCATTTTAGTTTGTTTACTCTGTGTTTACACCGAAGGCATCAAAGTTTGCTCTGGCCGCCCTGGCGACAACAATGTCTGCCTTTACAGCTTCGCCAACAACAAGCGTCAAAATTAGCTCATATTTAAAGGGGCCATATCAGCATCATGATTCGTTCATTTTCTTTTCAGCTTAGTCCCTTTATTAATTCAGGGTCGCCACAGTGGAATGAACCGCCAACCTATCCAGCACATGTTTTACACAGTGGATGCCCTTCTAGCTACAACCCATCACTGGGAAATCCACTTATTCAATATGCGTCCATATGTCTGAAATATTCAGAAGCAGCAATATGGTTTTTTACGGTCATTATAGTTAACATGAGATTCCTACTTTCTTAACAAAAAAAAAAAAAATATATATATATAACTTTAATGCACATCAGTAACTCACCTGTAACTTTTTAAATATATGTTCCTGTAAGAAAACACTGTAAACAACTGGAAATCTGGTGACCATAATATTCAAACCCTTGGGTACAACTGTGGTCGGAATCAAAGTTCACGGGACTGTGCTGTCTGGAATCCTCTCAAGTGGTGGACTTCAACATTCTAGTGTCATGAGAAATTGAGCCCCCCTGACAAATGGGTTCGCCTAGGACCCTGGGTGATCCTATTGGTTCACTGGAGTTGTAATATGTATAGTTTGCAGCTCCTGATTAATATATATATATATATATATACAGTTGAAGTCATAATTATTAGCCGCCTTGAATTATCAGCCCCCCTGTTTATTTTTTCCCCAATTTCTGTTTAACAGAGAGCAGATTTGTTCAACACATTTCTAAACATAATAGATTTATTAACTCATTTCAAATAACTGATTTATTTTATCTTTGTCATGATGACAGTAAATAATATTTGACTAGATATTTTTCAAGACACTTCTATACAGCTTAAAGTGACATTTAAAGGCTTAACTAGGTTAATTAGGCTAACTAGCCAGGTTAGGGTAATAATGGTTTGTTCTGTCGACTATCGGAAAAAAAATTAGCTTAAAGGGGCTAATAATATTGACATTAAAACGGTTCATAAAAAATTTAAAACTGCTTTTATTCTAGCCGAAATAAAACAAATAAGACTTTCTCCAGAAGAAAAATATTATCAGACATACTGTGAACATTTCTGTGCTCTGTTAAAAATCATTTGGAAAATATTTTTAAAAAATTCAAAGGGGGGCCAATAATTCTGACTTCAACTGTATATATATATATCCACTTCACATTAGTTTACACAATTGTAGAATTTATTTGACATTTTATTCATCCTTATGTTCAGATCCTTATATATATATATATATATACAGGGCTTTACATTAACTATTTTGATCACCAGCCACAGTGGCTAGTATTTTTCCAATGTTACTAGCCACTCTGCATTTTCACTAGCCACATATTTGTTGTGGGAAAATATCGTTTATATGCATAAATATGACTTTGACCTGCAAAAATTACTTGATTTAGATTTTGTGTTTTGTCCACATGCCTTCTCATTCATTTCACATTTTGTGTGTCGTGTAGGAGCAAATAGGTCATGCTTTCTTAGTGTTATACTACAATTAGTTTATATTTCACATGACTTTTCAGAACTAAAAAATTAAGGATTTACCAAATTTATCTCTGACCACTCCAAACAATAATTATTTTTTTAACCACACATTTTAAACGTGTCAAAACAAGCTGTAATATAGCTGTATACTATATTTTTATTTAACAAAACATTTATTAAAAAAAAAGGAAAAAACAATTGACTTTTAAAAATAATTATTGTCATGTATCAAAAATATACACAATCTGTCCTCGATAAAGGTCTCTCAGATCACCAGTTAATTACACATAAACGGGGAGTTAATCTCATATTAAAGCAAATGTGTTGTTGTAGAATGATGAGTAAACCATATAAACAAAAATAACCGTAAGCAAAAGAAAGCAGATGAAAAACATACTGTGTGATAATGGAAGGATGATCAGACGGTTAAGGTCAATTAATAATCTGTTCAAAGCGAAAGCAACCGGTGCTGCTTACAAAAAGACATATTTGGAGCTCTTGAAAGCAGCAAGACTGTGGGTGTATTGGCATAGCTTTTTTGTCTGACTATTTGAAAGAGAACCGATCACAGTTGTGTTCCAGACACGCTTGCTTCAAACGAGGAAACAGTTGCGTGCACGCGCTTTAAAAGTCACGCACATCACATCAGCTGTTAGCGCGAGTGATTACCCTCTCATTCGGTATTCATCTGCTTTCTTCTGGTCGCGCGAACGACCTTTCTTTCTTTTTTCTTTTTTTTTAGTCGTGCTTTTTTTCGATCGATTCTAAGATCACATTTGCACGCATATTGGGTCAATCTTATTGTCGAACCCTGCTTTTAAGCAAACCACAATTTAAAAATTATTTTCAACCAGCCAAAGTGGCAAGTGGGAGTGACTGTCTAACCTGCCAAAGCTGAAATCTACCCGCATTTGGCGGGTTGTAATGTTAAGCCCTGTATATATGTGTATATATATATAGCACATAGATTACCATTTGTCTATATACACCAGGTAAGAGGGTGTGTGCCAATCCATGTATTTTTGGTTTAACTGTTAGTCAGTGTAGATTAGACAGGATGTCATTGGCGTTGAAGATTTATTTTTCATATCTTTTGTTTATTAGAGTAGATTGGAGGGGATTTGTTGTGAACAATAGTAAGACTGTTTGGTTTTGTTTGGTTTACTTTAGCACCACCCATAGCCAGTCTTTCTAATATTTCATTGTTTATTGCCTTCGATATTGTATATTGTAAGTATCTCACTCACTGATTCACCCTCACTTTTTGTAAATTAATCACCATCCTTTTGTTCACTAATTCTTGTTGTCTGTCCTTACTTTGTAACACAATTTACTTTTGAGTTCAGCCAAAAAACAACTTTTCAGTTAAATGTGCAACCCCACTCCCCTAGACAAAAAGGGGTTGTACAAACACATATATTCAAGCCCTTATCTAGAGGTAACGTCCAATTGCAATCAAGTCTGAAACCGTGTGATGTGGATGTTGATCTGGACATCCCTACCACAAACTCATCACCATAAAGGTATTCTTTTTTGTGTCAATATCACATGTTTAAAGCTGTGATGTGTGTGTGTGTGTGTAAGTGTGTGTGTGTGTGTGTGTAAACATTACCATTGAGCCAGGATGTTGAGTACTCAGTTCTCAGTAAACTCTGAGACGGAGACGATCTGGAGATGATCGGTTCACTGCCCAGAAAGTTATAAGCAGTTCCTGAGTACAACTCGCCATCTGAACAACAAACACAGATAAAAACATTAGTTTCTAGGGAATTTTAATACTTTTAAAATATATATTTCTAAGTGTTGTTTAACAAAGTGAAGTTTTAACTGATTTAATAACTAAATTTAGTTTAAACATCATAACAGTGGATAATATTTGACTAGTTCTTTTTCAGGACTAGTATTCAGCTTAAAGTGACATTTAAAGGTAATTAGGCAAGTCATTGTATAACAGTGGTTTGTACTGTAGACAATCTGAGAAAAATATTGGTTTAGAGAGCTAATAATATTGACTTTTCTGTGAAAAGAAAATAAATAAAATTCACAGGAGGGCAAATAACTTTGACTTCTACTGTATATGAGGTCTAACAAAACATGTAGAAATGTGGTTTAGACAAAAGGTCAGGACGGTTAACTTACCAACCATCACAGTGGTGAAGCTTTGAGACGGATCATAGGAACATTTCCCTCTTCCGTCCTCTGCTTTCTCGAGCAGCCGGAAATCTTGCAGAGACTAAAGAAATAGAAATTTACACGGGAAGAGATTCAGGAGGATGCATGTTAAAGCAAAATAACAACACACAGATTGCAGTGTCATGTGATCATGCTGTCTGTCTGTCTGTCTGTCTTTATGGTGACTGAAAGAGGAAACTATTGTATTCAAATGTAGGAACAGAGACATTGTTATATGAATTTCTGGGAAGTTACGAGGAAAACAGTGACAAGGTAAAATGTCACAGAGATTGAAATGGATCATGCTTTTGTTAAAAACTATTAAGCAGAAGAATAAAGTTCCCCAAAAGTAACTAATGTCAAACAAAAAATGCAGCCACTAAGTACAAATTTAATACAACACTAAGTACAACTTTTGGATGTTTACTATAAATGAACCACATCATGTTGCACTGCTTAATTCAACCTTAAATACCTCTTTTGCACAATTTTCATGTTAACACCTTCATTGTTCAGTCTCATGTAAAAGTACTAGCATAGCCTTGTATAGTCTTATATCATATAGTATATGTTAGTTATGCATAGGGTTTTTAAAAATAGCTATGTCCAGTGTTGTGTTTGTATTTATGATTTATGTAGCACCGTTGTCCTGCGAGACATGACACTTAGTTCCTCTGTATGTCCATACATGTAGCGGTATGACAATAAAGCCTGACTTGACTTGAAATACCAGTAAAAAGTGTATCGCCTTGAAAATTAACTTAAGGTTAAGTTTATAAATGACTAATTTACTATGTATTTACCAATGACTGTAAAAAATATGGACAACGCGACAGCCCCTTTTCCCATTGAACGCCTTGAGGGCAAAACGCCTGCTTGACGGGCACAAACTGTCACAAAAGACTGCTGAAATTGGAGCCTTGACATGCGCAGAAGGACTGTCTGATGGAGCCAGAGGAGGAGCCGCGAAAATGAGCGGAGTCAAGCTTCCAACCAAACGCTTTATGTAAAATAAACCACGCCCCCCGAACTGCTCAGCATGCGTTTGCTGTCATATCAACACAAATGGATGTAATAACGTTAACAAATATGAGGGTTTTATATATTTAATCGCGCCAGCTCCGGGCCGCTGCACATAACCTACTCGCGGCGTCGCGGGCTGATTCCAGCTCGCATGCGGCAGCGCCTGCTCGCTCGGCCGCCGCATCTGGCTCGATTAACTCAGGCTGGAATCGGGCAGTGAGTCCAGGCATCCGGAGTAGGTCCAGCAGAGGTAGTCAGTCTGAGGGGTAAGTCTCCGGCAGGCGAGAATCTAGCCGGAACTGGCCCGAGTGTATTTTGCTATCTGGGTGGCTAGGCATGTATCAGCAAACTAATAAAGCCCCAAAAAAGCCCTGACCTTAGCGTATAAACAGTGTTCCACCAGGATCATGTATGTCAGAAACTATAGTTTACTGCTGAACTCATTTTATCATGGTAAAATAACACAGAAATCGAATAATAACACTTCAGTCTTCTGCCGAAGCTCAGACGCGCTGCTTTGAGAAACTGTCAATCACAGCTGTCAATCACGATGACACGCCCAGCATTAAATTACTGCTAAAAACAAACTGTTTACAAAAATGAAGATCTGCACCTATTTCAGCACAATAACCAGTGCCTTAATCCACCAGAACTATCTTTCGGGACATT